ACACCCGCGTATTCTCCATACACATATACACACACCACACTAGATCCGTACCATTTGCGTTTTGTTTTTATGTTTTTCTATATACATATAAATGTAACTGGCTCAGTAATTTTCATCATTTATAATAAATAATTGTAATGTTTTTAATTTCTCAAATTAATGTCTAATTATTTAATTTAACACCTCGTCACCAATCTCCCCCGCTCGCAAAATTGTACATGGTCCGATCCCAGGTAATAGGGATTGCATAATCCTTGACCTAAAACAGGACCGACGATCGCACGGCTCGCAGTAGACGTAATAGCGTCCTTTCGGACGTTGACCCTCGACTGGAGCCTTCCCAAAAGTGCGTTCGACTCGAGGCACGCGTTTACTCGCGCAACCCGAGATAACCTTTAAGAATTCGGTTACGTCCTTCCTTACCCCGTCCCCTCTGGGTGGCCTTTCCTTCGCTTCCCAGTTTTCCTTTTCACTGAGACTCCCGGGGTTTGGACGTAACAGAACTTCAATTTTTGGGGACTCGTCCGGGATGAAAAGTGCGATTTTTCGAGAGTGGTGATGAATACGAAGTCAAAATCTGATAAAGATCAAGTTGATGATCTCTATAAACAAGCCATAGAAAATCAAGGCAAAATTAAACCCAGTGATTCTACACCATACACATCCACTCCCCATCCGAACATTAAAACAGCACCTAGACAAATTTTTCCCCCAAACGTTGGCGATACTGCGGAGAACAAACAAAATATAACCGATACGTCTGATTTCACCCTTCACGTTTCCGACAATTCCTCAGATAAAACAATACTACCCGCACGGTCAGTCGAATATAATTCTTTTATAAGCATCGCAGGAACGATGGCGCACGCTAACCCTTTCACTACTTTAAAATACGCGGTAGAGGCCGTTCCCTTTTTTGACGGAAAAAATATTCCGTTAACATATTTTATAGAGGGATGCGAAGAAGCGAAATCTATGCTGCCCAATGAGGCAGAGTCTCAATTTACCAAAATAATTAAAACCCGAATTATAGGCGAAGCTCGCCGTACCATACAAGATCAAGATTTCGATACAGTAGCCTCTTTAACAAAATACTTAGAACAAGTTTATGGCGCGGCTAAAAATATCTATCAGTTACAAGGAGAGCTAGGTTGCATATATAAAAAAAACGAGGAAGACATCGTTACATATGCAAATCGGGTAAAGCTATTAGGTAAACAAATATTAGAAGCCCATAAAAATTCGGGAAATGCCCTTCCCGGTCAGAATATTAAAGCGATATGAGCGATATAAATATTAAAGAGATATGTGCAAATGTTTTATTAGAGGATTAAAGCCGGCAATTGAGCAAAGAGTAACGAGAAATTTAGACGTCCAGGCAACCGTGGCCGACGCGTTACGCATAGAGAGAGAGCTACACGAAATGACAGATTTACGACAGGGACTGGGTAGTACAGCAAATAAACCATCAATTGTTACCCGATCTCACGAAACCTGTCAGGTCTGTTTTAAAGAGGGACACATAGCCTCTAATTGTAGAAAACTGACTCAATCTTCCCAACAGTCACATAATAAGACCAGCTTGGGAACTGAGATTTTGATATGTCAGATTTGCAAAAAACGTGGACATAGCGCCGACAAATGTCGCCTCCGCGATCCTCAAGCCCAACGCCCTGTTAACATAGTCCAAGAAAATCATCTTATCTGTCAATTGTGCTCTAAATCTGGCCACGACGCTAAGACATGCAGAACAAACAATAATCAGAATATTAACAATCAGAGTAAAATCTCGATAATTTGTCAATGGTGCGATAAACCGGGGCACTCAGCTAATAATTGCTGGAAGAAACAAAATGAACAACGTAACGCAGAAAATAAACCGAAAATTGTTTGTCAAATTTGCAATAATTTCGGACACATTGCTAAAAATTGTCGAGCTAATATAGAATCAAATATTACAGCCAAAAACTCATTATTCTGTCGTTATTGCAAGGGAGAAGGGCAAAAATTGTAAATTACGCATTGCGAGCAATAATCGCAGGCAAGTAAATAATCAGGGAAACTCCAATGGCCCCTCGAAGTCGGGTGTGGAACAGGGGTCCGAACGGATCTCACACCTATCAACATCTCAAACTCAATAGATAACAACGCTTCTGAAATACGACCCGTGACGGTAAACCTTAATAAACATCATCGAGTCCCGACCGTCCAGATAAAGTTCAATGAACCGGCTTCTTCAATTACTCTTATGTTAGATAGCGGCTCCGGGCCAAATTTAATTAAAGAGAAATTTTTACTTAAAGACAAAACTGTCAATTATACAAAAATTTTACAATTAAGTGGCATAAATGAATATCCCGTCTATACTCTCGAAGAAATTATTTTGCCTCTTTTCGGAGAACAAGTAACTTTTCATGTAATATCAAACGATTTGCCAATTCCACAAGCCGGGATATTAGGTAACGATTTTTTTGAACAAACCTCCTCAATGATAGATTACGCGAAAGGATGTCTAAACGTATCAGGATTTAATATACTTTTTTTTTCACCAGAAACCATTACGGCATCTCCACGCACAGAATCTTTGTTTTATGTGAGAATAGGAAACCCGGAAGTAAAAATAGGATATATACCGAGGCTGAAGATATCTCACGGAATTTATCTGGGAGACTATATAGTAGAAAATATTTCCGGAAAAGCATATTTAAATGTTATAAGTACGCTGGATGAAGAGGTAGAAGTTCAAGTACCAACTCTGCGCCTTAAACCACTAAATGAATTATTCGACGAACACGAATCGAATTGAAGCGCAAAACAATCAAGAGGGAATTACGCAAATTAGCCCTCAATTTTCAGAAAACCAAACTCATTGCAAAACATTCAATGGAACGAACAAAGACAGAATAAAAAATAACAATCATGCAAAGTTAAATAAGGACGAGTTTATAAATGAAAATCAAAATAAAGCAAGAGAAGAAAAATTAAAGGAAAAGATTGAGAATAAAACTATGAAAAAAAAAAAAAAATTAAATAAAAATCTTGATCTAGATACTCGAGAGAAAGGTTTCCAGATCTCCCCCGAAATGCTAGACTCCCAAATCCTTGGAAGGGGAAGTTACCAAACCTCTTCTGAAATGTTAAATAATCCCGAAATCTGCAGAGGGGGAAGTTACCAAACCTCTCCAGAAGATTCCAAAAATCTTGGAGAGGGAAGTTACCAAACCTCTCCAGAAGATTCCAAAATCTGCGGAGGGGGAAGTTACCAAACCTCTCCAGAAGATTCCAAAAATCTTGGAGAGGGAAGTTACCAAACCTCTCCAGAAGATTCTAAAATCTGCGAAGGGGGAAGTTACCAAACCTCACTATGCAGTACAACAAGAAATTGTTTAAACGAGCCAAAGAATAAGAGCTCTTCAGAAAAAATAAAATTCCCAAGGGTTGAAATACCCATAAAAAGTACAATTAATAAAGATAATGCCTCTCATGTTACTATTGGAGAACTCATGAGAAGAGTAAAATTATATAATCCTAATAAGGAAAAAATTTACGAAATCAATAGGAAAAATAAACCGTTCGCAAAAACTTTAGCATACGCACAAACCCGATTCCGAAAAATAATGGAAAATTTCCGGTACAAACGCAAGTCAAAGCAACATCAATTAACGCCTGAAACATCAACTAACGACGTCATTTCACGAGAATGTTTTGTATTATCCGGAGAACCTAAGAAGGATAGTGTTCGAGAACGAGTTCGATCGTCTATTTGTTTTTCGTTTCGTCGCGCAAACGAAGCTTCGAGAAGCGTGCTTCTCGCGTGATCATCGCATGGCCCTATTCTTCGGTTGCCGTGATGGGCGGTCCTTTACTTGTTTTTCGTATAACCAGCGACGATCAGGCGAGCGCGTTCGGAGCAACGCGACGCGTAGTCAGTCGGCGTATCGAAATCATCGGGCAAGCTCGTCGTCTCCGCGAATCCCGAAAACTTTGGTGATCGCGCGGTGTTTCTCCGGCGTGTATTATAAGTGATTATAACACGGTCCTACCTCTCCGTCTGTGTTGCATTGAGACACACGGGATTCAATCACCGCTATTGCTCCTGCGGAAAAACGAACAAAGTTATTTGGAGTACCCGACGGCTTGCCCGCGAGTCAAGTGACTCCACGTCGCGAATGACGTCACGCGCTAAGGTGACCGCTCGTTCGACTCGAGACTGTCTAAACTCTCATGCGAAAGATACTTATTTGTGAGCATAATAAATAGTGCTGTTTGACAAGTTTGTCCAATCCTGACTTTATTTTGTGAGTGCCTACTCCGATCCTCTAGCGATTCTTATAATCGCGTCACGCGCACTCCGGGCTCAGCGCTGGGCCGTTCCGGCGAATCGTCTGGCGAGTGCAATTGACATCTCGAGACAATTGCGACTCGCGCGCTTTCTCACACATAAAGAAGCTGGTCCTTCGAGCCGGATCGTGAGTACGTGTGGAGGAATCAAACAGCTCCGGAATTCTGTCTCATCATGACGGAACTGATGGAGAATCAACTCGTGTTGCAGCGCTCGATTGAGCGAGCGCTCGACAATTTCAAGAAGCTCGGGCGAGCGAACTATACGGCGGCGAAGATCCGATCGAGAATCTCATCCCTCAAGGAGCTCTGGGCTCCCTATCAAGGAAATCACGCCAGGCTGTCGGCTTCCACCCCCGCCTCGACCAGAACTACGTTGGACTACTTCGTCAAGGAGCAATTCGAGAAAACCGAGGAAATTTACAACGCTGCACTGGATTTCGCTGAGCGAATGTCTAGCAGAAATTGAGCCACCTGTGAGTCCGCACCACTCTCTTGACTTCGGTCATTCGAGTCAACTCGCGTCCGCGACTTTGTTCTCTCACCTTCCGCCCATTCGCCTACCGCCTTTCGACGGAAATTATTCGGAATGAGAGACATTTCGCGATCGATTTGTTGCGCTAATCGTTGATAATACTGATCTGAGCAATTTCGCGCGGATGCATTATCTCTCGTCGTCATTGAAAAGCCGCGCGCTCGAGACCATCGCGAACATTGCGATTACTGCGGATAATTTTCAGGTCGCGTGGAACACCTTAAAGGCTCGTTTCGAAAATAAACGACGCCTCCTCACTAATCACCTGTCCACGTTGCTCGGCCTGTCGGCACTCAGTCTCGAATCTGCTTCCGATTTACAGACGTTGTACGATAAAATAAATATCGCAGTCTCATCTTTAAGAAAATTGAATCGATCTCCGGAAGATCTATGGAACGACTTTCTCGTTCATCTTTTGACTCAAAAATTAGATGCTGCGACACGTAAAGCGTGGAATCTCCAAACGAGCAATGTCGACTCGCCGCCTGCGTTCGCAGATCTCAAAAAATTTGTAACCTCTCGTATTCGCGCGCTTAAGGAGTGCTCGTCGACCTCCTCTCATAAACCTGCGTCAAAATCTGCGAATTCACCGCATGTCAATGTCGCCACGGCTTCCGTGAATTCTCCGTCGGCCTGTCCGCTTTGCAAAGCGCGTCATTATTTGAATCTGTGCCCAGAATTCGTCGCGAAGAATCCGCAGCAACGACAAGAAATCGTTAAACGTTTCAAACGTTGCTTCAATTGCATGAGTAGCAATCACTCGGTACGGGATTGTAAAAGTAAGTACGCGTGCCGCTTTTGCAATCAGAGGCATCATTCAATGCTTCACGTTGATGCGGAGACAAGCTCTGATTCAACGACGATAACGCCATCGGCGTCGCAAGCGTCCCAATCAAGCACACCGAAGGTCGAGGTACTTTTGCTATTTGCCGCCGCGCAACAAAGTCGTAGTTCACAAGTTTTCTTAGCCACTGCATGGATTAGGGTGAAAGTTTCCTCCGATCGCGCAGCGACGGTAAGAGCCCTGCTCGACCAAGGCTCTCAAGCCACGTTCATATCAGGGCATTTAGCTCAATCCTTGTACGCAACACGCATTCGGATGTCGATCTCAATTTCGGCCGTCGGCGGCACTCACGTAGGTAAAGTACGCCACGCGGCATCAATCATAATCGCTCCGCGCGATTCAGACAATCCATCTCTGTGTACCACTGCGTATATTCTCGATTCCTTGACGGCATACACGCCTCGATGCGATGCCGATTCATCATGCCTCGCACATCTCTCCGATTTAGCCTGGGCAGACACGAACCCGAGCAGTTCCGATCCAATTCACATTTTGATTGGCGCGGATATCTATAACGATATTATTCAAGGGGGCGTCCGAAAGGGTGAAGCTGGACAGCCTATCGCGCAAGAAACGATATTTGGATGGGTCATTTCCGGGCCGCTAGTGTCGGATGCTAATTCGCCGGCGGGACGATCCTCCGTTAATATTACCGTACTTCATTGCACAAGTTTAAGGCCTCTCGCCGAGGAAGTTCAACGTTTTTGGGAAGTAGAGGAGATCTCTCACACCCGCAAACTCACACCGCAAGATGAGCAGTGTGAGTCTCACTTTTGCGATACTCATTCGCGTCAATCTGACGGCAGATATATCGTGCGTTTGCCGTTTAAACGGAGTCCTCCGCCGGAAATCGGGCGCTCGCGATTGACTGCCGAACGCCTTTTCAATTCATTGTCACGGCGGTTTCGCTCTAATTCGGAATTAGAAAAGGATTATGATGAGTTTATGCGCGAATATGAAACGCTCGGTCACATGCGTCGGGCGCCATCAGCGGATCGAATGCACGATCCATGCGTATATATTCCGCATCATCCGGTTATTCGTGAAACCAGCCTCACGACTCGTTTGCGCGTTGTTTTCAACGCGTCAAGCTTGACGTCGAACGGTACGTCATCAAACGATCACTTACTCGCCGGTCCAAAACTACAGACGGATTTACCCGCAATTATTCTACAGTGGCGTCAGTTCAAGTTCGTGTACACAGCCGATATTGCAAAAATGTACCGCCAGATTTTGATAGATCCTCAGGATCTCGATTATCAGAGAATTTTGTGGAAGGGTGACCCATCCGAGGGCCCCGTCGATTATCAATTACTTACCGTCACATACGGAATGAACTGCGCTCCGTATCTCGCGCTTCGCACGATACAATGTTTGGCCGACGACGAAGGACATCGGTTTCCGCGTGCGGTGACAATTCTTCGCAAGCAGACTTACGTCGATGACGTGCTATTCGGTGGAGATGATATCGCGCTCGTGCGCGAGTCTCGCGATCAACTCGTCGCCTTATTGCGCTGCGGAAAATTTGAGCTTCGAAAATGGGCGAGCAACTCGCCGATTTTGCTCGCTGATATCGATTCGTCAGATCACGGCTTAGTAATCACCAAACAAATCGCGATCGACGATCAACTAAAGGTGCTCGGCATCGCTTGGAATCCGTCGCGCGACGTATTTCAATTTAAAGTGTCACTCGGAAGTTTGACTCTTCAGAGCAAACGCGCCATTCTCTCTGCGATTGCAAGGCTTTACGATCCATTGGGGTGGGTAACTCCCGTCACTGTTTCTGCAAAAATTATCATGCAACAGTTATGGGGAGTTCAAATTGAGTGGGACGATCGAATTCCTGACTCGCTTCTCTATAAACGGAGCATGATCTATGCGAAACTCTCGCATCTCAATGATCTTCAGATCAGTCGTTGGACCGGAGTCACGGCTGACGCATCACATGCGGAATTACACGGCTTCGCCGACGCCTCCACACTCGCGTACGCCGCCGCGGTTTATCTCAAAGTGACATCCGCTACCGGTCAAGTCACGATTTCCCTGCTAGCGGGAAAATCAAAGATAGCGCCGATTTCTCCCCTCACCGTTCCTCGTCTCGAATTATCAGCTGCTCTGCTTCTTGCGCGTCTTATCAACGTCGTTCGAAATTCTCTCTCTATCAAATCCATTCCAGTTACGTGCTGGACAGATTCTACAATTGTTCTCGCGTGGTTACGCTCTCATCCATCTCGATGGAAAGTTTTCGTTGAAAACAGAGTGCACGAAATTCAGTCTAACTTACCGGATGCTGATTGGCGTTACGTGCCTACTCAAGACAATCCCGCGGATTGCGCGTCGCGTGGATTGTACGGCGATGAGCTGCTTGCTCACTTCCTTTGGTGGCACGGGCCATCCTGGCTAGAAAAAAACAAAAGAGGAGTGGCCCGAAGAACCTCCGTTTAAGTCTACCGACTCCCAAGTCGAGGAAAAAATCATCGTTTCTCACATCGCAAAGCCTCACGCTCAGTGGGATCTACAATCACGATATTCATCGTGGCCCAAATTAATTCGGATTACTGCATATATATTAAAATTCATCCATGCCCTACGCCGTCACAAAGGCGGTAATCAATCCATGCAGTCACCGGGTCACGCCCTCTCATCAGTCGAGTGTAATCTCGCCAAGACATTTTGGATTAAACAAATCCAAGCTGAGCTCTATTCGGACGAAATCAGCAAGCTAATTAAAAATCAAAATGTCGCAGCTAAGAGTTCAATCGTTACCCTCAGCCCATTTCTCGATCAAAGCGGAGTGGTGCGGGTAGGAGGTCGTTTACGTCACGCCCCTTGTCCTTTTCGCGTGCGACACCCGATATTGCTCTCCTCGCACCCACTGGTGCGTCTTATCGTCTTGCAAGCGCATCTACGCGCTTTGCACGGAGGGACACAGCTCACTCTGACCACCCTCCGCCAAGACTACTGGATCATTCGCGCTCGAAGCCTGGTAAAATCCGTCATTCATAACTGCATAATTTGCGTTCGGGAGCGCGCCGCCGTGCCTATGCAATTGATGGGCGATCTCCCAAAAATGCGCGTCTCGCCCCCGCCACGTAGCTTCTCGCATTGTGGCGTTGATTACGCCGGGCCGGTTAAGGTGCGTGCGTCCGCCGGTCGAGGCATTGCATCACGAAAGGCCTACATTGCCTTATTTATTTGTCTAGCTACGCGAGCGATCCATTTAGAGTTAGTCAGCGACTATTCATCTCAAGCCTTTCTTAACGCGTATGTAAGATTTTGCTCTCGTCGAGGCCTTCCACACGCGATGTACTCAGACAACGGCACAACCTTCGTCGGTGCCGAGAAGGAGCTCACGATCGCTTATCGATCCGCTCTTCGCGATCCTCAGTTCTTAAATAAAACCGCGTGCGACAATATTCAGTGGCACTTCATTCCGCCATCTGCGCCCCATTTCGGAGGGATGTGGGAAGCAGGCGTACGTAGTGTGAAGCACCATTTGCGTCGCATTCTTGGAAATCACACTCTTTCGTTTGAAGAGTTCACAACTTTCTTATGCACCATCGAGGCATGTTTAAATTCGCGTCCCATTGCGCCCTTATCAGATTCGTTCGATGATTATGATTGTCTAACTCCGGGACATTTTTTAATCGGCTCGGCTCTTACCGTCGCTCCTGAGCCGTCGCTTCATCACCTCAACGAAAATAGATTATTAAGATGGCAGGTTGTGCGCCACGTAGCCGAGCGCTTTTGAAAAAAGTGGTCTCAGGACTACGTAAACACCTTGCAGCAAAGGAGCAAATGGCGCAACCCTCGACTTTCGCTAAAAATCGGGCAACTTGTACTTTTGCGTAGTGCTGCTCTGCCTCCCTGCAAATGGGAACTCGGGCGTATTACGCGCCTCCACGCCGGTTCGGACGGTCTCACACGCGTCGTTACGGTGAAAACCGCCACGTCAGAGTTCAAGCGTCCGATCGTTCAGCTATGCGTGCTGCCCGTCGAAGATAATGCATCCAACGACTCGTGATATTCCGTTGCGTGTCTCATTCTCTTTGCGTTAGATATAAGTTAGTTATAAGCTGCGTCTCAGTTCGCCAAAGCGGGCGGCTGAGTATCATTGTATAAATGTAAATATATGCATCACGTTTATTTGGAAAAGCCTTCTAGCTTTCATTGGCAACCTATCGTTAGGATAGCTCGTATGTGTCAGCAAAACTGCGAATTTAGTAACTTTGCCGTTATTTTCATTTTCTTTGTTGTTTGCGTTCGTAATGTTGAAACTACGTTTCAAGGCGGGCGGTATGTTCGAGAACGAGTTCGATCGTCTATTTGTTTTTCGTTTCGTCGCGCAAACGAAGCTTCGAGAAGCGTGCTTCTCGCGTGATCATCGCATGGCCCTATTCTTGGGTTGCCGTGATGGGCGGTCCTTTACTTGTTTTTCGTACAACCAGCGACGATCAGGCGAGCGCGTTACCGTTCGGAGCAACGCGACGCGTAGTCAGTCGGCGTATCGAAATCATCGGGCAAGCTCGTCGTCTCCGCGAATCTCGAAAACTTTGGTGATCGCGCGGTGTTTCTCCGGCGTGTATTATAAGTGATTATAACACGGTCCTACCTCTCCGTCTGTGTTGCATTGAGACACACGGGATTCAATCACCGCTATTGCTCCTGCGGAAAAGCGAACAAAGTTATTCGGAGTACCCGACGGCTTGCCCGCGAGTCAAGTGTGACTCCACGCCGCGAATGAC